CCCCCCCCCCCCCCCCGGCTGTTGTGTGTTTTGTGCCCGTTTTCTCCTGTTTCATTGCTCTCCCATCTGGGCGGCTCCGTGGTGCAAGAAGACGGTGCGGGATAGATCAGGCAGGGTCCAATGCAGCGCAATGCAAACGCCGGGGCCCTGAGGAGCGAGACTTGGGAGCAAAGGCTGAAAGAACTGGGCCTGCAGAAGAGAAGGCTGAAGCAGGAATCGATGGCAGCTTCAAATACCTGAAGGGCAACACACAGAGAGGATGGAGACGGGCCGTAGGGAGCAGGACTGGGAGCCACAGCCTTAAGCTGAAGCAGAGGAAATTTAGCTTGGATATGACCTCCTGAGGTCCCTTCTCGTCCACCCTTCTCGTCCAGCCCCCTGCTCAAAGCAGGACCAGCCCCAACTACGTCATTCCAGCCAAGGCTTTGAGGTCTTAAAAACCTCCAAGGATGGAGACTCCCACACCACTCTGGGGAGCCTGTTCTAGTGCTTCACTACCCTCATACCGAAAGAGTTTTTCCTAATCTCTAACCTCAAACTTTCTTTGCTGGAACATGAGCCCGTTGCTCCTTGTCCTGTCATCTGCCCCCACTGAGAACAGCCCAGCTCCATCCTCTCTGCAGCCCCCCTGCAGGGAGTTGAAGGCTGCTATTCAGTCCCCCTCAGTCTTCTCTTCTCTTACTCCAATCCCTGAGCCTCTCCTCATGAGTCAGGTGCCCCATGATGCCAAGTCTGTTTGTTCTGAGGGCTGTGGATGTGGCCCAGACTCAGTCCTCCCCTCTCCCCCCCCATGTTTCAAGAGAAGGGAAGGAAGAGGCTCTCTCAAGATGTTGGTTTAATGAAATCTGATTCTTAAACCCTCCTGTATTTTTCTGACACAAGGTACCCCAGGTCCCAGCCTTGATCCGAGTACCAGATGCCCTCAGTTCATTGGGTTTCTTTTCATTATCTGTAACAACAGCAGCCTGCTGTCAACAAGGTTAGACAAACAACCTGCTGATAACATGACTTCCAGGTTGCTCTTTCCAAGGCCAGAGCCTACAGGTTGTTTGCCACTGGGCTCCTGCTCCAGACAAGTGCTGTGTGTGCATGCGCGCGCTCCTTGGCAATGACATCTGTCATATAGTACTGCCTGATTACGCATCGGGGCCTTGGTACCATGGTACAGGCTGGGTTAACGACATTGTTTATCCTGTTTTGACAACTGAGATAAGCCAGCTGCCCAGCCTGCCATTCTGTCCCCATCCTCCTGGCCCTGGCTGGCACTTTCATTGAGAAAACACTTCTTGATGCCACGTGAAGAACTTGCTTCCCCAGCCAATCAGGCTAGAGTCAACTTGTTTTTTAATGAATGCTGCTTTGTCAAAGAGAGGTCAAGGGTGGAAGGGGGTGTTCCACTCACTGCCAGCGCCTTATAAATACCACTGAGCATAGCAGCCAAAGGGTTGAGGCAGCTGAGCTCAGGGGAAGAGGCTGCAGTCAGAGAGCTTTGACAGGCACAGGAGTTTGCAGTTGTGCTTACAGATTCTTCCTGTTAAGTGCATCCAGATCACCTTCTCCTTCAGAGTCAGCGGGATCTGCTTGGTGGGCTTAGGTCTGAGTACAGGCAGCATGGAAGTGGACTATGAGAGATGTCAGTGCCACAGCAAAGAGAACCGGAATGCCATCCTCTATACCCTCCTGAGTCAAAACCTGAACCACAGTCATAGCCCATCCCAGCAGCGCTGCCGGTGCCAGAAGCATCGCACTGTCTGCCTCCAGACACCCCAGGTCACCTGCCAGGCGGCCTCTGATGTCCTGGTGAAAACAATCAGCTTCATGAAGAACCTGCCCTCCTTCCAGCTGCTGCCCCGGGAGGACCAGCTCCTCCTGCTGGACAGTTGCTGGGCTCCTCTCTTCATTCTGGGATTGGTTCAAGAGATGGTGACATTTGATGTGATGGAGACCCCAGCCCCCAGCATGCTCAAGAACATTCTCCTCAATGGCCAGAGCAAGAGGCAGGAGCTTGAGAGGACACAACCCACCCTAGCCGGGGTGCAGCGGCTGCAGTGCTGCTTAAACACATTCTGGAGCCTGGACCTGAGCCCTAAGGAGTATGCCTACCTGAAAGGAGCCATTCTTTTCAACCCTGGTGAGTGCTCTCAGCAGGGACAGAGGGTACTACACAAAGAATCTGGCCTGGGCTGCTTCAAAGCACACGCACACAAGTGTGTGGGGGGGTGTACATGTGAGCAATGGGGAGGATTATCTTAATGTCATTAATCCATAATGTTAACTTTTTACACTTTTCATTCCAGTAGCTCAAAGGTAGGAAGAGTAGCCCCATTTTACATACAGGTAGACCGAGGCCCAGACTGTTGTAGAGGCTAATTTCAGAGGTGCTAAGCATCCTTAATTCCCACTAACTACTGGAAATCAGTCCCTTGCCATATGCTTTAGGGAAATATTTTGAATAAGACCTTAGACAGTAAAGATCCCAGGGCACAATTTGGAAAGCTGGAGTTGGCCCTGGTTTCACCGGTCAATATTTCTGTTCCATGGTTATGCTGCACAGTAGTAAAGAGCTCCTTCCACCCCAGAAGTGACTGCATCTCAGTGGTGCTACCTTGCATGGTTCATGAAGTACTTTAGGGTCTCTGTGCTATAGATGTTTAAGGTGTGTGTGTTTCTGTCTGTTCACATGCGTGTGCTCAGTAGAAAGAAATTAAGCTTGATTGCAGCAGCAGGAATATGCCAAAATATTCCAGAGAGGCACTCAAGTGCCAGTGAGTGGGATTGAGATTGGTGCTTAGGCTGGGAAGCAGGGCCCATAATTCACATTTCAATTGTTCCTCCTTTCTCTCTCCCTAGACGTCCCAGGTTTAAGGGCCTCCTTGTACATAGAGAGTCTCCAGCGGGAAGCACAGAGGGCGCTGCAGGAAGTTGTAGGACCGCTCCACCCAGAGGACCAGGGCCGCTTTGCCCGCATCTTGCTGATGGCCTCCACCCTGAAATCCATCTCTCCTGCCCTCATCACAGACCTTTTCTTCCGCCCCATCATCGGCAACACAGACATTGTTGAGCTGATCACAGAAATGCTGTATGAAATAACTGCCAAGCGGTCAGCTCTTTCATCACGCGTGGCACCCTGAGTGCTACGTTCTGCATGTGCTTTCACAGGCGTCTCCTGCTCACCGAGCTGGGTGTCAGAGGATGGTAAAGTTAATCCGGGAATGGGACTTAACGGAAAAAAATCGGACATTACCAAGAGCTGGCCTGGCATGTGTATTCCACTCAGACTCTGATCACAGATTCCTCAGCTAAGGCATAAAATCACTTCCTAACTTATCTGTCATTCAGCAGATGTTTACATCGGGCCTTGCTCGTGGTACGACATCAAACTCAGACTGCCAAGCTGTTTCTAAAAGTGCATGTGCATGGGAAGATAATGGTTCTGCTTCACTCTCCTGTAACTTGAAAACAGCTTGGCCAAAGCCCTTCAAACTTGCCAGGCAAAATCATTCTCTGAGCTGATACTTTCCATGGCAAATATTCAGGTCAAAAAGCATCAGTGGGAGAAAGGAGGGAATTGAAATTAAGGCTTCTAACCAGAGGAGGAGGTGACAGGAAGTTACAGCTTTAAAGTGTCATAGAGCATTGCCATTACAGAAAAAGAACGTGGTTCCTAGATGTGCTTTCCACCCCCAGCAGTTCATCACCTCAGTGGGAGCAGGGAGCACCGCAGGAAATGACCCTGCAGTACAGAATGGGTCAGATCAGAGCACAAGCCAGACTCCATGAGTCAGGGGGAAATCCTGGTCTCACTGAAGTGAATGGGACTTGAACAGAACCAGGCTTCTCCTCCTCCATTCCAGGTGCTGACCTAGAGGGAGAAAACAGGCTTTGGACTGAGCTCAGATGTCAGTATTTGTGAGTGAGTGGTCTTCTGTCATTTGTTCATAAGTGGCAGTAAATTATTAGTTTTTTAATAAATTGATTTATGTTTTGGAACATGGTGGTGGCTCTGTTTTGAGGCACACATTTGCTCTGTTGTGTTTGATGTGAGATTACAACAGCCTGCCACTCAACAGATCGCTCAAAAGAAATCCAGAGGGGACAAGGCACAGTCTTCCTCAGAGACCCCTGCCCAATGCAATTTGTTTTGTCATTTTAAAGAAAGTGCACTACAGAATGAATCTTGCATCCAAACACTGCTGGGGAAGGATGTCTGATTAACAGCCTTGCAAACTAAAGTCCAGTTATATGGACAAGAACAGCACAGGTGCAAAATCATAACCTTTCCCTACCATGCAGCCCTTCATTGTCTCACTTCCCCTCAAAAGGCACTTGGCACAAACACTTCACGCTGACTTCGGGGATGGATTATGACAGTCAAGTTCCCTCCCAAGCTTATGATTCTGTATTGCCCACTTACTGATGCGCAAGTGAGAGGCTCTAACGTGCAAATTAAAGGATGAAGCTGCCTGTATACATTTTACTCTGCTCTTAGTAGTTTTATGGCTGGGTTTCTCTGCTCTGGCCTCTAAAACTATATAACTTAGCCCCACCTAATTTCCCCTTGCTTCTGTAGGCTCAGCAGGTCAAACACGAAACTGACAGGTAACGACAGGGCAGCACAGGGGTACATGTCTCCAGCTCCAGTACGCGTCTAAGCTGCCCAGGGTGCGTGCAGCTGGAGCTGGAAGACTGCCTGTGTTGCAACACCAACACGTTAGACACACCTTGATGTTTAACTCCAAGCTACCGAGGATGAGGGGAAGATGCAGCCTGTGACCTTTTGGCTGGAATGATGTAGGTGGGGCTGGCCCTGCTTGGAGTAGCAGGTTGAACCAGATGTGACCTCCTGAGGTCCCTTCCACCCCAAATTTTTTATGATTCTCTCTGCTACAGTTGCCACTGCTCTGGCCACTGGGTTAGCTGTGCTGGTGGCACAGTGAGAACCAGGTCACCAGGGGCTGCAGGCATCATAGGGCACATCTACATGTGCATTTTAATGCATAGTAGCCTATCTTAATGAGCGTGAAAGCACCACAAAAAAAGTGCTCTTTAGCCAATGTGCTCATGCACATTATTTTAGTATGTTACAACAGAGGTACTGTATTTAATGCATGTTACCTAAAGCACATTAATGAACATGTAAATGCGCCCAGACTAATCCTGCAAGCGAGGAAGCGATGCCTGCTCCAGTCAAACAAACCAGCGGCGCTGTCTGGTTACCAACCCATGGATCACAGATCCAGGTGCCTCAGCACCTGTCGGTGTCCAATTTAGGCTTCAGCTACTTAAGTAGTAAACAGTTTAGGGCCTCACAATATGAGGGGCCTGTAAATAAGGAGGAAAAAAAAGGACACTGTCGTTCTAATATGACACATATATATGTAAATATGACTCGGCTTGAGTTCATACATTTGTGCAGCAATAATACTTCATCTTAAAATTTCATGAAAATCCATTTTCGTGGATTATTTTGATCATAGAGGGCGTAATTTAGAGCCTCAGCATGTCATAATCCGACATTCCCACGGCTTGACCCCGGAACCCCGATCCCCGCGCTCCCCCAGCACCAGCCACGTGCGCCCAAACCATGACATCATCCCCTCGCACCGAGCCCCACCCACTGCACCTCACTGCTCGCGTCATCTCCCGCAACCGCTCGAACTCTCGCGAGATGCCAAACCACGTGACGGGGGACAAGATGGCGGCGCCCAGCGCTGAGGGGCCTGCTCAGTACTGCCTGGTGAGCTGCGTTCCGGCCGCGCTGCGCTCCCCACAGCTCCGCGCCTACTTCAGCCAGTTTCTGGAGGCCGGCGGCTTCCTCTGCTTCCACTACCGGCACCGGCCCGAGCGCGGCGCCCCCGCGGGGCAAGGCCAGCCGCCGCCGCCCACCTGCTGCTGCCTGGTGGCGGTACAGCCCGGCCAGGCCGCTCGCCTGGTGCGCATGTACTCGGGTCGGCGCTGGCTGGGCCCCCGCGGCGAGGCGCTGCCCGGCCGCTGCCTCATCCGCAGGGTCCGAGTCGCTCCGGACGCAGGTGAGGGGGTGGGGTGGGGAGGCTGCTCTTCCATTTCTGCCCCGTGGACATTAACGCCCTGGCGGAGGAGCTGCTGCGGTCCCCCCTGCTTCCCTGTGGCAGGCTGGGGCATGAGGTCGGCACTGTGGCAGGTCACCTTCTGGAGAGTTTTGACGATGGGTTTGGCTGGGGTGGTTTGGACAGGGGTGATCCTCCCTCGGGCAGGGGTCCCTCCCAGCCCCACTTCTCTACAAGTCTGTGGCATGAAGGGGAGACTGCAGGTTGGCCCCTGCAGAAATCGTGTGTGTGTGTCCGCTCTTTTCTCTGACTGATGGTGAAGGTCCAGCGGGCTGCAAACAGTTGTCATAGCCAAGGATAGGTGGGAGTATGCAGAGGGGTCCTGATTCTTGTACCTGATCTGCATCTATAGCCTCACCAGCAGGGACAGAAGTGGACAAGAGAAGGTTCTTACGCAATATGCAAAGCATCTGTCTGGCAAGCAGCCCTATGTTTGTTTGGTTTGGTTTTTTATGGAGGAAAAATCTAAAGCAGGGGTCTCTGACTTTTTTAAGTAGGAGGTCACCTTTGGCATTTAAAAGCAACCTGCGATCTACTGTGTGCCTCTGCTGCCACATGCCCAGTAGGTAAATTTGTGGGGAGGAAAGGGTGGGGGGGGGAGATCAAAGCAGAGGGAGAAAAAAAATTGGGGGGCTCACTTCTCCCATCAAGTAAGTCCCGTCCAGCTGGGACCCCACTCAACTTACCCCTGCTCTTGCCTCTGGCACTGACTATGGGCTCTGAGATCTACCGGTGGATTGAGATCCACTGGTTGGTAACCACCGAACTAAAGTCTGACCTGGAAATGAAAAGAATGTTGTAAAGTGGAGTTCTGACTACAGTTACCTCATGTCATTGGCCTGAGCATTTCCTGTAATAGAGCAGTATTTATTAAACCAATGAATGCTTTGTGGTGTGACACTTGGGTTATCGTGCAAGTAGAAAGGCTTTTATTTTTCAGTTGTTTTGCCTGATGGATGAATCTATTTGGTGATGCGTTTCTGCTTTGCATGATGGGTACTTGAAGGTTTGAAACAAATGTCTGAGAGAGAAGTAAAATGCCATCCATTGAGACCTTCTAACAGAACATGGCACCCTGTATTGTATGACCTCTGTATCTCCCAGGTTTTTAAAGCCATGTCATAGGCATCCTTCTCCAGTCCAGTTTTCTGAGTGAAACCCTTGTGTTTACCTAAGGCATGGCACTGTCTTAACCTGCTGTCTGTTTCTCCTCAGACGTGGACACATTCACCTACAAAACTAAAAAGGAACTTCACAGTAAAACCCAGAGCAAAACTTTCACCCAGACTGATTTAAAGTGGCTGCCTGAGCTGAACCCTCCTGCATTCATGCCCCAAGGCAATGTAGGAACCCCTTTGAGTGTCTTCCTGGAGCTGATCAGGGCCTGCAGGCTGCCACCCCGAGTTATCAAGAAACTGCAGCTGAACTTCCCCAAAACAGGCTCCTCTCGTCGCTATGGGAATGTGCCCTTTAAATATCAGAACACTGAGACTGTTGCACAAGAGCTGGTCTATACAGCTGCAGGTGATGAGATCACAGAGGAAAGTGAGCCTGTGATAAGTTCTGGGGTGTCAGATCAAGCGCATGATGATGATGACGACATTGGGGAAAGATCAGGAAAGGAAGACTCTCACTCAGACGATGTAAGTAGATTTCTCCTGTCAAATTGCTGGCTTAGTCAGGCCTATGAACAACAGGGGAAGAGCCCTGCTGCTTTCCAGGGAGTTTGTCTGAAGGGATGTTCAGTACTGGGTAGATTTACTCGGTTTAAACCATATGCCTGTTCCACTTTTGCTACAGCATAAAGCCAGTTTAAACCCACTCTAAGCTGCATCATGTGTGAGAACATTCATCCTCTAATACTGTGCCCTCATTTGTACTTAGAACTCTGGCTGGGGACTTCTAGTGGTATTTTTATCTTGATTTTTAGGTAATGGTGGATTTGACATCAAATTTCAAGATGAGTTTTCCAAGCCACAGCATACTTGCTGTATTGTGTTTGGAACTCCAGACTGAGTCCAGGCTTGGGGGGCTGGAGCTCTGAAAGGCACACATGTGCACAGAGGCCGGCCTGGGGAAAGCCAGCCTGGCTCTGCTGCCATTACAGAAGAGGTGTGAGCACTGAAGTATTTGGAAAACGAAATGTGAAACCAGTCAAATGTCACCTCAGCTGCAAGGCAAACCTTGCACTATGTGTCACTGAAGTGACCTTCCTTGCAGGAGCACCAGGGTCTCTGATTTGGTCTGGCTGTTGTCACTGCGTTACATGAATGGAAAGTTGCTTTTTGTTTGTGGAATTGATAACATCTGCTTAAAGGATCAGCCTCATGAGAATTAATGAGCTTCCATTCTTAACTCTGTGCAGAATGTGGCTGCCTCTCTTGATAAGGATCCTTGTGTATTTGTGGACTCCTACTGTTTAAAAGCATTTGAGAGGGTGCATGTGGTTAAGTGTTTAAGCTCCTACGCAGCATAAGCTGACTTTGAAGTCTCATTTAGGCTGTGGACGGAGGTAATTTTAAAACCCTTTGAAAGCAGATGGGAGACTTGCCACTCAGGAGTCTGCATCAGATGCAACTGTTCCATCTATCTGCTCTTGGGCATATGTAAGTGGGGATAAGCAGCCATACCTCTAAACATCATGGAAATCCTAGAGAAGTGAGGCTGGAAGGGACCTGCAGAGGTCATCTAGTCCAACCCACTGCCTGAGGCAGGATCAGTCCTATACAAGCCATCCTGTATAATCCATAATCTAAACTTCTGTAAAACTACCATCAACCCTGACACAATACAAGACATAACAACCTGCCACCGCGAAAGCAGGGGGACCACAGCAGACTGTCCTGCTTCTATAAAAGGTTGTTAATTAAAAGGCAAATCTCTACCTCCACTCCCAAGTCCATACCAGTCTGACCAAGAGGTAAAATTCCTTCTTGACCCTAGATATGATGATTGGTCTGGCCTTGAATGGAGGGGTAAGACCCACTTAGCCAGGACCCTCTCTAGTCCTTAGGAAGAAGTTTAAGGTTATAACAGTCGAGCTTCACTTACTGGTCTGCTTCTGTAGTGGAATAATTGGAGTGACAGTGCTAAAAGCCATTGTAGGAGGATACCCATGTCACTTTGAAGTACAGTGCCTTTGGTTGGGTATGAGGGAGAGGATGGAGTGATAGCCCAGGCCAGGATCTCTGTTGTCCCTGTTCCTTTGCAGGACGATGACCGGTGCGAGGAGTGGGAGCGGCATGAAGCACTGCATGAGGATGTGACCAAGCAGGAACGTGCAGAGGAGCGGCTCTACGAAGAGGAGATTGAGCTGAAGTGGGAAAAGGGGGGCTCGGGGCTGGTCTTCTACACTGATGCCCAGTACTGGCAGGAAGAGAGAGGAGGTGAGGCCAATCATATATCTGCTTCTCACTGAAGAGTTGGGCTGGCTGTGAGCTAGTGGTTGAACACCCAGCTTGGCAGGCCCTTCCCAATTCATCTGACAGCTCTATGTATGTTGGCTTGCAAGATCTGTAGTATTCTATTTCCCTCCATTGCTGGAGAAGAGAAGTTGTATTGTAGTTGGAGGAATGAGAGCTGGGGGTGGGGCAGGCTTTTGCTCCTGGCTGAATGTTGTTCCTGTGATGGGCTCCTCTTCAAGTCACCTGACAGACCAACGCTTATTTCTTGCCAGACTTTGATGAGCAGACGGCAGATGACTGGGACGTGGACATGAGCATCTACTATGACCAAGGTAACAGCTGAAATATGCTGCAAGGTAGAGGTGGCTCTTGGCAGGTCTGATGGGGGTCTGCCAGTTAATCTGAGATGGGCTCTAAGGCTGAGAGAGGGAAGAAGCAGTTCTGACTTTCTGCTATAAGAAAATGAGGGATCTGAGTATCAAGCAGTGTTTGAAGCTACAGCAAGCTCAGGTGGCCTGGGACCTTGAAACATAAGTCTGTAGTGAGGCCATAGTTTGGCAAGAGGAAAGAGTATCAAGCCTACTCCATGGCACACACCTTGGGCAGATGTTAAATCTACCAAGGACTTTCATTGTGCCACTTCCTATAACAGTCCAGATGCCTTGGCTCATGGTAGATGTGAATCCAATAAGTCACAACTAAAGCAAAGGGCTGGCTTGTCATGCATGTGCTCCTATAAGACCCTGACCCTGATTCTTCCCAAAGATTAACACCCTGTGGTGCTCTTTATGCAAATTGGGATCCTCTCCAAGCATAAACTATTTGGATTTAAGACCTTTTGAAACATGTAGCAAAACAGCTGGAACAGCACTTCTCTGGCCCAGTGAAGGTTTCTGCCCTGCTGCATCCTCTAGGAAACATGCCAGCAATATCATGGCTTTCTCTTTGCAGCTCTGCTCTGAGGGCCTTGTGGGTTTTTTTTTGTTTGTTTTTGTTTGTTTGTTTGTTTCCCCAGATGGAGGTGATAAAGATGCTCAGGACTTGATGCGGATGCGGCTTGAGCAGAGGCTGCGGGACGGCTTGGAGGATGAGTCAATTGCAGGGCAACGGATTGGGACCTTTGAGAAGTATACCAAGGTGAGACTGAAAGTCTCTTGCTACTCTGTGGCTTTGCAGGAGACCAATGAAGGTGGGGCAGTGAGAGCTTGAGGCTGGAGAACTTGGGCAAAGTGATCAACCCAACTAATCCAGGAGAATGCTAGCCCCTGTCAGGGCTATGGGAGCTATACAGAAGGGTTTGACCATGGACAGCAGAGGCTTAGAGCTCTCTGTAATGGCTGGAAACCAACTTGGTCTGGGCCTTGCTCTTCCTGTTCCTGTGACATGCAGACAGCCTGCACTGGCATGTCTGTAGGTCCTGAACAAGAGGCTGTGCGCCTTGAGGTAGAGTCACAAACCCTGGGGGAGTTAGTCCAGTTGATTATCTGGCTTGTTCTCTCTGGAATCACTAAGAATTAATGAAGGGGTTTTACTTCCAGGGGATTGGCCGGAAGGTGCTAGAGAGGCAGGGCTGGATGGAGGGCCAGGGCCTGGGCAGCAGCACCTTGGGAATGGCAGAAGCGCTGGACAACGAGGGTCAGAATCCCAGGTGCAAGAGAGGACTGGGGTAAGTGCAGTAACCTGGTTCCCCCTCCCCCAGCTCTCACAGCCAGGATGCTCTGGCCACAGGCTCTGCTCTCTCACCTCCTGTACCCCGTGGGGCAAACACTCATAGGTGAGTGGTGGCTTACGACAAGGGCTTGAGGCAAGCATGAACTGGAAGGAATCCCAGGGGCTTTGAGGCAATGTCCCTCTTAGCAGGGCCCCTGCATGTACTGCGAGTACAGCCTGAGCACCTGAAGCTGAATGAAGAACTAACTGGTCTACCCTTCTGGCTGAGAGGTGTAGCATTTGCTGTTGGCCCTTGTTCTCTGGCACCTCTCAGTCAAGAAGCGAATTGGCTGCAGTGACCCGGTGAAGCCTAAACTATCCTGGGGCTTCTTGCTTTGGAAACTTGTTGCTGCCATACTGGGGGAGTGGGCAGAGCTGAAAGCCTTTAAGAAGCACTGGGGCTGAGAGAATGCAGCTTGTGTGACAGCCTCCTTAGACTGTGACACAAGTGCTGTCTCTAGTCCTAATGGTGGCAGCCAGGTTACCAGTTCAAGTCCCCCAGACCCATGCACTGCCGCTGCGCCCCCCCCCCCCCCC